CTACACCACTGATACTATGTATGTGTTTAACGTTGATAATGGTAACATTGTTTCCGAAATACGTATCCGCGACTTTTCAGTAAATTTTTTGTGATTTTTGAGTTTAATATTTTTTAGTTTTTTAAATTAATAATATTTTTAATATAGTTTTAATTATATTTAATTAATTAGCCACAAGTGATAATTTTTTATTATAGAATTTTGAACTATTTTCAACTTAAAAAGGATTGAGAAAAAAATGCAAACGATTTTATACATTGTCGGGCGAAATTCGAACTTCCTCGAAATGGAAAAACTATTGCTGTCGATGCGGTAACTGTACATCATATATATAACAGAAGACAAAAAAAAAAAACTTTAGCTAGTTAAAAAATTCAAAGTCATTTTTTTTAACTTTGAGTAAGCAAAATTTTCAAAATAAGTTTAAATTTATATTGAATGTAAGTTAGATGTTTTTAACTTATATTAAAATCGATAGGTTTATTATTATGGCAGCCCTTATGAAGTATTTTGAAATAAATAAATTGTCTAGCTGTATATTTCTCAAAAAGAATAACAGTGCAAAATTAAAATTGAAAAAAAAAAATGAAATTTTGAAAAACTTAAAATTAAAAAAAATATTAGAACACAAAAATAAGTTTTTTAACTACGGCAACTATAAAATTTAAGTCGTCGGAATAATTTTTTTTTATTTATAGTAATTAATATAAGCTTTTATTTAACATATGTTTAAAAGACACCGAATTTCCGGAACATTTTCTAAACTTAAGTTGAAAAAGTTGTACATTTGATACGTATGTTTGAAGTTTTGAACTCCTCCCCCGTATAAAAATAAATAGTCTGACTTAAAAAAAATGTCATTAAAAGAAGTATGTATAAAGTATTAATAAAAAAAAATTTATGTTGAAAATTTATGTGTTTAAGTATTAAGTGATTTGTGTTTAAGTCGTCAAAACAAATTTTTTTTTTTATTTTTAGTAAGTAATATAAGCTTTCANTCCGTGTGTTTAAGTATTAAGTGATTTGTGTTTAAGTCGTCAAAACAAATTTTTTTTTTTATTTTTAGTAAGTAATATAAGCTTTCATTTAACATATGTTTAAAGGACGCAGTATTTTCAAATACTGAACATTTTCAAAAGTTAACTTTACGTGAAAAAGTTGCCATTTTGATTCCCATCTATAAGTAGATAAAATTGAAACGGAAATACCTAAGGTATTTATATAAAAAAAATTATTTTGATTCATTAATTTAAAAAAAAAGTTATGGCAGTATTAAAATAACAAAGTTTAAAAAATGTAAAAGTTTATCGATTTAAAAAATCGTAATTTTCGTGCGGATTTCCCTCATTTACAGGGAACAAAGAAAATTTTAACAATTTTTAAGGGCAATATTTTCAAATAGATACGATTTGTCATCTTTTAACATAGTGTTAAAAGATATAGGTCTGGTGAAAGCTGAGAAAGTGGCCACAGACATAAAAAAAACATATCATAGTAAAATTAATACATACGTTCTCCAGTTTTGCACCGAAGCTAATATATCATATAAAATATTACTGATGATTGCGTATTTAAAACAGTATATTGAATCTATTACATATGTATAATTTATTAATATTCGTAAAATAATTACCCTAAAAAGTTAAACAGAATAAATAATGCTCATACTGTAAGGTAATTACGTAATATGATAGTATTCAAATTTAAACACTAATGTTCGTCAAAAATTGAACAAAAATTATAAGAAGTAATATTAGTTATCAAAGTGATTAACATAAACTGCTACAGAAAAATGACGATTATTTTCGACATTTTCATGGGTTGATACTAGATCTCTCATCATATGTATTATTCATTTCTTCGTAACTGTTATAGATTAACTCTATAGTCGAAATAGCTTTTTGACTATAAATACGAAACACATATGCTCTAAATGTGAATTCTTAGAAATAATAGCTATTTTTATTTGGAAATCACATTTAACTTTACTTGTACATCGTTTCATGGAAACGCTGACCTTCTTAGTCACCATACATTCTGCTTAAATCAAAATAATATTTAAGTACGTTAAATTGAGCACGCTTAAAATAAAATTGATGTGTTTGTATAATAATGTTGTCTATACTAGAAGTCTATAAAACAATGGCAATTCGAGAAGTGAATTGCTTTTCTAGACAACATCTGAATATTTAATTGACTCAATATGCAAAGTGATTTTTTCATCATAACCCACTCAATTACTTACAGAATAAATATAATATAAACATTTTTTTATTTTTTGGTTATCTTTAGTTACACATTATTCTTAAATTATTAACTATGTAATACTTTTTAAGTTCATCCCTTATGCCTAGTAAGGGTGTCAATTTTGTTTTTTTAAATGGGAACACATATTTTGAATTTAATAAAATGTTTGAATTTTTTAATTTAATAGTAAATGGCATTTGAATTTTTAATATAACTTTATTCGATTATTAGATATAAACATTTAAAATTACAAATTTGTGAGTTAATATACATGTATACTACACAAGGGATTACAAATACAGGTAGCTAATTGATTTTTTATGATATCGATATTAGAAAGTACATACCATTGTTATTATCAATTGTAGTAAGGCACATTGTTGTGAGTATATAAATACACTAACTGACAATACAGAAATTATATCTATTGATAGTCATAATTGATAATATACAATCTGTGACTGTGACAGCAATGTCATAAAAAACCAATTACCTACCTGTATTTGTAATTCCTTGAGTATTATACATGTATATTAACTCACAAATTTGAAACTTTAAATTTTTATATCTAATAAACAAATAAAGTTATACTAAAAGTTCAAATACCATTTGCTATTAAATAAAAAACTCAAACATTTTATTAAATTCAAAATATGTGTTTTCATTTAAAAAAACAAAGTTGACATCCTTACAAGGCATAAGGGATGAACTTAAAAGGTATTACATAGTTAATAATCAAGAATAATGTGTACCTAAAGATAGCCAAACAAAAAAATTGTTTATATTATATTTATTCTGTAAGTAATTGAGTGGGTTATGATAAAAAAATCATTCTGTATATATTCAAATTTAATACTAATTTATTATAATTATATTGATCAATTCAAACTAATAAAAAATAATTAAGCTACAAATAATATATATAGTTTATTATAAATTTAATAAAAATAATAATTTATTATTTTTACAGCATGAGTTTGTGTGTCACATTTGTCTATACACTAAATAATCAAATAATTGAACATACTTTTTGATCCATTCAACTCCAATTTACGGCTATTTTAATTGTAAAATGTTTTATAAAAAATATGTATAATTATAATATATATTATAAAATATTATACCTGTATTATTTATTGGACTAATATATATATATATATATATATATATATATATATCCATACTTTATTTTAAGTAAATTTACACGGCATTTTGTGTAGGCAATATTACTACGTCAATGCCAATGTTTTCTTTAAAATATTGCTTCATTTACAAACAACAGAAAGTATTACGTTTATGATAAATAGTTCATCTTAAATATGATGGAAAGTTCAAGTATATAGGTTTTTTTTTAAGGACAAATTTGAGGACCAAACTAGATTGCAATATGGGAAAATGCATCACATGAAATTAAATTTTTTATTTTATTTATTCAACTATTGATATTTAGTTCATATACCAGTTGTATGTATTAGTCGAAAAGTTTATGTCCAGAATATGTATTACTATTTTTTTTTTTTAAAATTGTTGAATTTCAAAGGCATATTTTAATTATAAAAATAATTTACTAAACAAAGCATTTAATGTAGTTAAAAGCAATCATCCTAGCTTACGTTAAACATATGAAATGTTTTTTTTTTTTGTGATAAAATTGTATTTATATAAATGGTATAAAACAGTCCGATTAATTTAAAAAAATTAAACACAATTGATCCATTTGTAATTAATTAGTGGCCACAGGTGTAAAAGTAAAATGAATTGAAATGTTGTTTTCGTAATTTATATCTATCTCATTTTCAAAATGATTTAATAATTTACACCAACCCGATTCAATTATTTTTATTAATAGAAGTAAAATTACTACAAATTTTTATTTTATTTTTTTTAATTACTTCTATTTGTTCAGATATCAAATATTTATTTAGCACAACTGAGTAAATAAAACCATTTAGATAATAACTCACCTTATTAGGTTTAAACGACAACAAAGGCTTAAATACGCACAAAAATCCCTTGAAACACCCAATTGTAATAAAGGTTGACATATAAATAATTCATTAGTTAAACTGTAAGGAACAAAATGGAAGTTGAACACATTTTTTCCGTATTTTAACTTTTTATTCTATTTAACACACACGTTTTAATCTCCTTTTTCAAATTTTTTTATAACATCTACTACACATTATCTTTTCAACCCAACATGTACTGTGTTTTTAAATAAAAATTTATTTTTTCTATTAATGAAAATATCTCTTATAAATAAGTACAATGAGATGCTAACATTTGTCGCTAAATGTTAACAATACAAACAAATGTTTGTTTGTCAAAAAAGAATAATATGTTCATTATACAACTTTTTTTTTTAATTTAAATATTTTTAAAAGAAATATTGAAAAATATTTTCGGACATTATTCTTCATATACACAATATACATTCAGTACATTTTAACGTTGAATAATTTGTAAATAATTTCAATCTATAGAGATCAGATTTTTTTTCTCCTCAAAACTATTTATTTTACATTTATAACAATAATGTATGATCATAATTTAAATTTATGTAATTTCAAAATTTGTAGACATATTTCTGAATAATCTTAGCAATAAGAAAAATAAAAATCCGTTTTGGCGATAGAAAGTAGGCTTTATATATAAATATATTCGACTTTTCCGCCAAGATTAATGCAAACAATATATCCTTATTTGTATTAAATTGTTCTTATGGACTTTTTTATTAAAAATAATTTGCTTACCTGCATATACGGCTGTAATACACATGACAAGCCAAGCTTTTGACCACATGGCGCACTCGATTATGTACACGAGGCGTACGTTTAACGGAACACTTACAACATACACGCGGCACGGCGAACGTTCCAAACAGTACTACTAGCATAACTTGAGCTTAGTATATCAAGTGGCATTACAACGTTGCGCTTTCAACGACGTCAGATGAGATTTATGCAATTCATTTTTCATACCTCATTCACTAATTAAGATTGTGTGTTAAAATTTGCAAATCTAAAATTAGAATTAAGTCATTTGCAAATAAAATAAAAATTATTCTTTATTAAGCACGAAACAATAATACAACGATACCAAAAAAATAAAAATCAAACTAATAGTTAAAGATTAAGACAGTGTAATACGTTATAAAAAAATCCGACTATAAAATCAATATCAATATCATTTCATATGATAAATAACATTACTTCGACTACACGTCGGAAGATTCGATTAATAGGAAAACTAGATAGTAACATCTTAGCTACCCTGATAATTTTATCATACATAACATAAAACAACTAAAAATAGAACAAAATTACTATAAAAAAAATATTTATTTATTTTAAGAAAAATTTAGTACCAAGTCATTAAACAATTACTAACTAGTTCTCGATTATTGAGAAAAATCGGTCAAACATATATTTAAAGTAATGAATTTTATTTTATCTGTATTATAAATAATCATATAATAATTTTTTTAAAGAAAATAACATGCGAATAAGCGAGTATTATAATTGCTAGTATTTTTTTTTTTAATTACTCATGTAACATGCTTTACATGTTTTAACATAAGGATGTATAATACGATATAATTTATCTTATCTTTTCATAAATATCATATACCCCCCAATCACTTCTCATATTATCACCATTGTTATAATGTAAGAATTTAAAAATATAGTATTTTCAAAAAATAAAAGCAATAATTATATCACGATTTGTTAATTTTTGATTAAAATACTTACAATAGTAACTTGTATAAAATTTTGAACGTCCTCATCCCATCACCAGGTTTCCTTGTTTCCTGGTATTCTACTCCTACTTTCACCAACAATCTCCTTTGCAGTATTCTTTACACAACTAGCAAATCTATTCCACACATCATTTATGTCTCCCTCGACATTCCACACCGTCCTCTCTTTTACCGTCTTTATAAACTCTTTTTCATTTTCCCCTTTCAATTTCCGCCATTAGATCTTCGATTTTTCATATCTCTATCTCCTCTCATTACTTACATGTCCATTCATATCTACTCCTATCACCGCATCCTCATTGCCAGGTACCCCTTGCATCACCTCTTCATCTCTCTCAAAAACACTTCCTTGTCTATTCCATCACATCCCCTACTTGAGGTACATAGGCACTTATTACATTTAGCACTCTTTTACTACTGTTTATTAAGTAAACATTACACTAATTGTAGTCAAAATGCACTGTTCATATGATTGTTGGAAATTCATATAGTTTTTATTAATACACTTTCGGGTAGTAATTCAAATTAAGTTATATTTCATTTTATTTTTATAGCATAATTAATTTTAAGTCGCATTGATGATTATATTTCTTAATTTGTTAGCCAAGTAAAAATAATCAATATCTCTATTAGGTTTCTTATCAATAACGTTATTATCTTAATTTAGATTTAATATTTTGTAAGAATAAAATTTTTAGTTATTGACTTTTTTGATACTTGTTTACTTAAATAGCCTTACAATTTATTAAAGATTTATTGTTTATATGGCGAAGTTGATTTTAGTCTACTGATGAACAAGTAAAAAGTACCCTTTTTCTAATCAGTTTGTATTTAATTATTTAGTTGTATTTATTAAGATTAATGTTAAAACAAAATTTTTATTATTTGGCGGTTTCACATTAATTAGAATAATTAATAGATGTTGAATGCTGATTTCATGGACATTATAAGTTTTTAGAATATAAAATCAATGTTTTTTTATTATTTTGTAATTTAAAATTACAGTCAATTCGACAAGTTTAGTGTCCAAAATCAATATTAAATTAAACCAAATCAATATTAAAAACCCAGCACAGTGGTGACGTGGCATAGATGGATCAAGTATAATGATATCTGACAGTGATTAAAATCACTATAAAAAAAACCCAGCACAGGGGGGTCGCGGCACAGTGGTGACGTGGCATAGTTGGATCAAGTATAATGGTATCTGACAGTGATTAAAATCACTATAAAAAAAAAACGCTTCGATGCAAATCTTTAGATAGTGTTTAATTTTAAAAAATTGGTGGATTATTCCAAAAGCTTCATAAACTGCTAGTTCCTTATTAATATCCTGATTAAGATAAAGTATGTCGAATGAAAAAGGGATTATTAAAAAATAGTATTTCCCATAAAAAAATTATATTGATCAATACACTTTTCAATAAGTTATAGCATTATAATGTTAAAAATGTAAAAAATAAAATTGAGAATTTTCACACAANTGTTAAAAATGTAAAAAATAAAATTAAAAATTTTCACACAATAATAGCATTTGGTAGCCATTTTCACCTTGAAGATAAAATAAAGTCCGAAATTTTTTTTTTCCATGATAAAGTATATTACATTAGCTTTAATTTAAGATATATATAAAAGTGTCAGACCTTCCGGAACACTTTCAAAAGTTAAGTTGAAAAAGTTCTACTTTCTATATGCATTTTTTATATTTGAAGCCCCCCCATATATAGGGAAATAGTCTGATTTAAAAAAAAAGTATATCCAATGAAAGATGTATATAAATACTACTTCTCATGAAAAAATTGTATTGATCCATACATTTTTTAAAAAGTTATAGCACTTTAAAGTAAAAAATGTAAATTATAAAATCGAAAATTTTCACACAAAAATAGCATTCGGTAGCCGTTTTCACCATGAAGACAAGTCCAGAGGTCAAATTTTTTTTTTTCAAATTAAAGTATATTACATTAGCTTTAATTTAAGATATATATAAAAGTGTCAGACCTTCCGGAACACTTTCAAAAGTTAAGTTGAAAAAGTTCTACTTTCTATATGCATTTTTTATATTTGAAGCCCCCCCATATATAGGGAAATAGTCTGATTTAAAAAAAAAGTATATCCAATGAAAGATGTATATAAATACTACTTCTCATGAAAAAATTGTATTGATCCATACATTTTTTAAAAAGTTATAGCACTTTAAAGTAAAAAATGTAAATTATAAAATCGAAAATTTTCACACAAAAATAGCATTCGGTAGCCGTTTTCACCATGAAGACAAGTCCAGAGGTCAAATTTTTTTTTTTCAAATTAAAGTATATTACATTAGCTTTAATTTAAGATATATATAAAAGTGTCAGACCTTCCGGAACATTTTCAAAAGTTAAGTTGAAAAAGTTAATTTTTTGTGAAAAAGTTGTCATTTTAAATCCCCCCCTGTGGGCAGATAAAGGGTCAAATTTACAAAAAAAATATACCAAATGATAGGTAAAGACATCAAGCATCTATATAAAAAAAAATTATATTGATATGTTCATTTTTGAAAAAGTTACGGCAGTTTTTAGTAAAAAAAATTGAAAAAATTTCGAAAATTAGCGATTTTTAAATTTGTAATTTTTTTGGAGGTTTCCCCCATTTACGGGGAACGAGGGAATATTTTACAATTGTTAAGGGTAATGTCTTCGACTAGATACGATTTGTGATCTTTTGACGTATCATTGAAAGAAATCGGTTCGGTGAGAGCTGAGAAAAAGTGGTAACAGACACAAAAAAAAAAACACNTGAGAAAAAGTGGTAACAGACACAAAAAAAATAAACACATCTTAGTAAAACCAATACCTTCTCAGCTTCGCATCGAAGCTAAAATTTTAGGGTGTTGTGTTAGAAGTTAATTGGTTCAATCAAAAACCTACTGAATTAAACTGGCAATCAGTGGCTTTTACTTCCTTAATTTATAATATAAATATCAAATCACACATATGAAGTGATCTGATAAACTATGAAATGTTTAAAGTTTCATATTTTTTAAATTTCTAATTTATTATATTTTATCTTTAACCATAACTTGTAATATCAAATTATCAGATATCTTAATAAAGTGATCAATGAGGCACTAATAATTATATTTTTCATTTATGGTGTGCTGTACATATATTCTGTAATTTCATTTTTTTTTTTTTAATTTTTTAAATCATGTTAAAATATCTGTGATGAGTTATCATACAATTTGTCTCACTTGTCAAAATTACTAATTAATTTTTTAACTTAAAAGATTTATTGTGAATTTAAAATGAAGTAAGAGATATCAAATTATTTTTATTATCAGTTTTTTTATACATTTAATCCTACTAGAATTGATATTTATGAAATTCTAATAATTTCTCTGAACATTTAAAAATAACCTGACTTTCTTAGGTTTTTCAAACTTGTGACAATAATGAATACTAATAGATTAATTTTTGTACACAGTTTAAGGATTTAAGCTTGGACATTGTATATTATTTACATGAGCTCTAAAAACACAGTACTGAATTGCAGTAAAACTTAAACATTTTGAAAGTGAAATTGAGATTTTTTGTGATATTTGAAAAAAGCTTTAACAAATAATTCAGTAATAAATTGACAAAATACATATATTCAAAAACATAAAAATAATGGATAGGTTAATGAGTAAAATTTTGTTTATATGATTGTCGTGACCATATAATGATTATTCCTTGGATGTCACTCGTAGCTAACATAGTTTCATCATAATTGAATGTAACGCCTAAAGTTACACAAGCATGTCCTTGTAGTTTATTTACAGCGTAGTTAGACTCCCTTTCTATATCAACAAAATAAACACAGGAATCTTCACTACTTGTGACTGTAAAAAACAATACAAATTAAAACAATATAACAAATGACAACAATAAATTAAAATTTAACTGAAGTAACAGTGAATGAACACTAATAATTTTTTATAAAACTAAATTATTCATCTGATAAGTACAAGTTGTATAAAATAATACATTATCATTTACTTTTTATTCACTGGAAAATTATTATTTATAAAATATCACTAATTATAATTTTCCTACTAGTTTATTATAAGTGTGGTATCGAAATATAAATTAATTAACAATTTTAAAACTTGAAAAAATCTTGACTGTTAATTTGGAATGTTATCACATAAAAATAATTTGTTCAAATTACAATACTTACCAACACATGCTCCCTGTCTAAATGACATAATTGGACAAAATGTTGACCTTAATAAATGTTTACTATGCATATGAGAAACTAGAAATTTTTTTTTTAGTATCAGCAAGCCATCTACATTTTCTGAAACACTGAGTAAAAATGATTAATAATAATATATGATTATTTTATAAATCAGTTATTTAAAAAATGATAACCGACTTATATAAGCACAACATGTTGTTTGAGCAATTTGCTAATAACATTGGATCCCTGGCTTCTCTACTTATCCAAGACCTCCAGCTTAGACATGTAACTGCACCAAATTTCTGGGAAGCTATAATTCGATGACATTTTGTCAATACACTTCCATCACTGCTATTCAATTTTAAAGATACAATTTCTCCCTATAATGAAAATTATTTTTATGAATTAAGAAAATAAACATCTATATATACTATTACTTTCAATAAAATTAACTAAAAATAAAAAAACATAAATCCTAAATATTTTAAAGATAATCTAAGGATAAAAATACTAACTTAGACAAGAAACTTAACAGTTCCTTTTATTAAAAAAAAATATAAAGTAAATATAAAAACTAATACATTTAAAAAAAAATTAAAAGGCTACCTTAAATTTGATTTCAATAAATGGTAAATAAATATTTAATATTTTAAAACTAAACGTCAAAGGGATATTTGGTTTTCAGTTTTTAATTTTGTTCAAATTTTTTTTTTCTGTTGTTTCTTTAGACCAAGATGTAATAAAAAACAAAAATAAATGACTACATAGGAAAAAATACATAGTAACTTTTAAAAATTCATAACAATTTTAAAATAAGTTTAGAAGGCTATACTTATTGATAATTTAACATTTATTTCAAAATTAAAGACACGTATGAAAACTGAATTTGTTTGTATTAATTTTAAAAAACATCAAATAAATAAAATTATATATATATATATTACATTAATATGTTATTATTTTACTTTAAATATCACTATTTTCTTCAATATTAAAGAACCATCTTGAAACATAACTATTAATAATCAGTTTTACATCCTTTTATTTCCCAAACTTAACATGCTACAGAGGGTTATGGCTCTCATTGACATGTGAAAGAGTCAAAGATGTTTTGTCTATGCCATCATTGGCCTAGACAAGAATATTATAGCTTCCTTGCACCAGAGACCAGACACCACCAATGAGAAAAATTTAGTTGACATCCATCTTGAAACTTAAGTAAATTATTTATTTTATGTATTTCAAAATGTGGTATTTTTCAAAATTTTAAATTATGGTGGTTTTTAGTTTAAAAGTTTAGTTATAAAAATAAAACTTAAAAAAAATTTTTTTTATTTTGTTATAGAAAAACAGAAATAATAAAAATGATAAGAGTAAAAACTAAAACTTTCTAAACTATTTTTAAAAAATTTACAAATTTTTAAAAGATACCATTTATATTTTCCTATGACGTCATTATAGAGCAATAGCTTTAGAAGCAGTTAATTACAAAGTTTTTATTTTTTATCATAATTGGGTCCAAAGAAATGGCAAAATAAACTTATAATATAAAAATACCTTATTATTACCAGCCCATATTATTTGTCCACTACTATCAACTGCCAATGATAAAATTTGACCACCAATTTTATGTTTACCACCTTTAGGATACATGCCAGTTGAAACATTTAATACACATACAAATCCAGCTTTATTGCCTGTCTGAAAGATCATCATAATTTATCACATAATGTTTTACAAGAATACAAGTCACTTACAATTAAAATGTTATTATTCACTGGATTAAAAACACAAACTAATACTGATGATAAAAATGGATCATCTACACATCTTAAACAACAATGATGAATTGCATCCCAAAAACATATAGTTGCATCAGTTGAACAGCTGGCTATAAATTCATCTGATGCAGACCAATCACAACCTAAAAAATGATTTAAACTATTTTAAAAATTCTACATTATAAATACTATAGTATCATCATTTATTATTTTGAACTATATGTTCAATATATTTGAAAATTTATAAGACACAAATTTAAAGGTTCAAATTAGTTATCATATAAAATATTATATTAAACAGGGTGTTAAGGTATTAAAATAAATAGCAAGATAATTCAACCTTTAAATTGAATATTAGTATTTTTTTTTTTTACAAAATAGTAGTTTTCTAACAAAAAATGTTATTTAATTGCTAAGAAAAGTAATTTATTTAATAATAAACTCAAATAACACTTAAAGTCACATGATATTAATAAACATTAATTTTTAAAACTTATTTATTTAAAAACAAAAATTACCAGTTACTGGTCCTGAATGATATTTTAATATAGCTAATACAGAAGGAGGTGATGTTAAAACATCACATATACTTAATGTTCCATCATTTGATGCACAACAAAGCTTTGATTTATCATTATTGGCAAATTTGAGAACAGTCACTGCATCTGAATGCTAACATTGCATTTTTAAACATAAAAATCACTTTTATTTTGAAGCATTTAATCACAAACCTGATCATAAATATGATAAACACTATCAAATGCATAATTTTCTTCAATTGTATTGTTACCAACTAACGCTCTAGATGCTTTAGCTTGAGAAGTTGGTATTGGGGTTAGATCGTAATAAATGTGTGAGGAACTATCTATATCTAATGGTGATGCATTCATGTTTAAACTCATCTAAAAAAATTAAGTAATATAGTATATATAGTTTACTTAGTAAAAATGTACAAAGTTTAACTTAAAGGATTCTTTTTTTCATTTTTCATAACTGAATCAAAATAATATTTTTATTGAAATTTCTGGAGAGTAGATTATATTATATAGTGAAATTTAAAATACCAACTAAATAAATGATTATAAATCATATAATATATCTATATGATTTAACTAAAATTGTATATAATAAAAATAAATTAAAACTTAAACCAAAAATCTAAACAAGGGGTAATATTATAGTGTTATAATTATAATAACATGATTACCATACTAGTACTGAGGCTGCTAGTGCTGTTTGATTGACCATCTAGGTTAACATTATACTTATTTTGTAGTATTGAACTCCTAATTTTTAAATATTTCCTCCTTAAATTATTGAATGGCATTAAACCCTAAAAAATAATATAACTGTTTGAACATAATAATAATATAATATTTCAATAAAATGATGTAAATACAAGAGTGTATTTAATGTTGCTTAAAAAAAAAATTGTAAATACTACAATTTTCAATGTCTAATTTTATACATTTAACATGTATTATTACATACAATACATGTGTATTTAACACATAAAATAGTAATATAATATATTTTTTAATCAACATATTTACTGATATTAGAAGATCATTAGAACACCTTTAAACACTTTACTTAATAAATGAATATATAATAACTTACATCTTGTTTTGATTTTTCTCTTAAAAGCTGACTTCTTCTTCTAATATAAAGGGTACCTAAAAATAAATTATACAAACAAAATTATTAAATTATTTTTGTTAAATAAATTGGGCTTGCTGTAACAACAATTTATGTCCACTTTTGAAAAATTTTCAAGAGATACAAAAAAAAAACTTGTAATTCATATGACAACTTGTATTTCACGATCATTAAAGAGGACATACATCCTTTTAAATATAACTCAATAGTAAATTATTTAGATATAACAATTGTTGTACTTCTATGTAAAGTACTGTCTTCAGTGTAAGGTTCTTCTTTTTTTTCGTCGTCTTTAGTTAAAAGATTATTAACTTTTAAAATATTTCGAATTTAGACTTACGGAAATTTGGATGATTTGTTGCTCTATATGCATTAAATTTTGAATCCATTGCAAAAGCCTGCTGTTGCCACATATTATTGAATATCAAATAAAGTTCTTATGTAGTTTTTGAATTATTACATGATTCAAGTTGAGCCAATGTACTAAACTTTGTTCAATTTAATTGACATTAATGAACATGAAAAACAGTTAATTTTGTTTATTGTTAATGTGAATTGTTTATTATTTACAAATATTCTTATCTTAAGTCGTGACTTATTTGATAACATCATTAACTGAACCATGTGTACTTTAACTTAGTGTCATTACCACAGACTAATAACTTTTTAAAATGTAAAGGGATCACGAAAAAATTCCACAAAATACAAAAAAATCATTTTACGTATACTAACTTGTACTGTTCATTATATTATGCCGGTCACAAATTACAGTTTTATTTGTTACTGAACATTATTCGGAATAGTTCGAATATTTTGTTCGTTTGTTGATGAATTTCACATTATAGACATATAATATGCTATATGTCTATGTTTCACTAACTATTTTTTAACGTTGAAATTTGTATGATAAATTAAACGTTTGTTTTAAATCCTACATTCTATCTGTATATTCGAATCTACACCAAAAACTGTTGATTGATAGATACACTTATAAAGAGTGGGCAACTATGAAACATAAGCGGGTTAAATTCCCATTTACAAATAAAAATATTTTTTAAGATCCACTAATCACTTAAAACTTATAATTAAAATTATATATTTTCGTTACTTTATTTAGATTTTCACGATGCTAGTTTTCTTATGAACTTATATTTTATTTGAATTTATGTAGCGATTAAAACAATTTAATCTGATACCATACAAGGGTTAGAGGACGAACCTAACAAGTATTTAACCACTTATAAATCAAGAAATAAATAACTACGCTTCAAAACCAAAAAATATTTTTAAGATTATTTTTATTTTACGAAAATTTAGTAATCAATAATAATAAACCAATCACTATGTGAAGCTATTTAAATTTTTATTTGTTATATTTTACGCAATTTTTATTTAACAGTTCTATACATTTATTAAGTTCACAACTTTTTAAAAAAATTATTAATATTTAATAAGATTTAATTTTTAGATTTGGATGTAGGTGAAAAAACCTACTGTAGTAGGTTACAACTTATTAGATGGTAGGGTACCGCCATATTATTGCAAAATAAATGGATCATTTGGAGGGCGATCAACAGGTAGGTAAAAAATGATATGATACATTTTCAAGATTAATTTTAAAATTATTTGAATCAACAATAAAATATCCTTATATTTCCGAATTCATAGGATCAGTATCATTATCAATATATTTTTGGTACTTGAAAACGTTTAAAGTAATTTTGCCAATTATATATATTTTTAATTTGATTAATTTGTATTATAACATTATTTTTGAGTAAAAAACATTGGTTTTTCGCCTTTACTAAGCATACATTTAAAATTTTTTAAAGTTAAGAATTCATAATAAATGTAACATGGATTAAATTTATTTAACACATTTTTTTATAAACTGTAAATAATTTTCATACATAAATGAGCTAAATAAATCATGATTTCTATGATTTAGAGCAGATTCAGACAGATGATAAACGTAGTATGAAACAAACTCTTTGTCATACAAACCAGAATATTTATTTAAAAAAATTATTAATAAGTTATCAGCCTAATCATTATATTTCAGACAAGTTTCATTAGTTATAAGAAGAAGACATTTAGCAGTATGTAGAAGAATAAAGTGTTCATTAAACTTTCTTTTTAATTGTTCTTTTAAAACCACTACACCAATGTATAAAAGAAATGACTTCATTTCGGAGGCCTTCCTAAAATAAATTTCTTTTAATAATCTATGTAAACGACAATGGAAATGCATTGTGTATATTTAATAAGTCATGAAAAATCAAATTTGAGTTGTTAATCGATTAGACCCATTAATCCAAAATATAAGCAATCGCTTCATAATTCTTAGACATACACAATGCATATAGTCGAAATCAACAATAGAAGTTATATCAAAATTAAACTGTACTAATGGACTATCAACTTTATGGTAGTTTTCATTAGGTTTTTGGTGAAAAGATTGATCAGACCTCAATGCAGAATTAGTACTAAGAAAATTCATACGGTGATTTATAAACTAGCCTTAATCTATACATGAATTGAAGGGGCTGATAAGCATTAAAATTAAGAATAAATGCTTTTCCAAAATACATGTATGTATTTTGCATTAAAACTGTTAAAACGCTTTTGCAATCTACACCAAAATTAAGATCAATTTATCTTTTGATTCATGTTTCGATAGAAGAAAGTTATGTTTATTACATATGAGTTAGGATATATAGAGAAGATTCTAGGAAATTTGGAACCCCTAAAAATGAATGAATATGCTAATATATTATAAATATAATATATTTTGTTGATAAATTACTAAAATATTTTAAAATCTGTAAAATATGAGTTAGCTCATACTATTACTCTACATTAAAAAAAATTCATTACAGAACTTATTTCCTCAGAGCCTGTTAAAGTAAAAAAAATTTTTGTTCCAAAATAGCCGATTTATTTCATTGTCAAATATATATTACTATTTTTTATCTAATCTTTTTTGACCTAAAACTGTTACTTTTTAAAAATGAACGAATCAAAACAGTATTAGAATGAGGCTGAATGCAGCAAACAGATGTTACTTCTCAATAAAAGAAATGTGTTTCCTCCAAGTTACTGTGTAGACGTACAAAGGAACGCCTATACTGTACGTACTTGAGACCCATAGTAACGTACGCATGTGAGACGTGGTCTAGCACTCAAGGAGATGAAGAAAGACTACAGAGTTTTGAGAGGAAAATACTCAGGAAAGTATATAGTCCGGTGTATAATAATGACTCGGAAAGTTTCCTAAGAAAAACAAATGAAAATATACAACAGCTGTATAATAAACCGTCTAGTCTACATTTCTTAGCCAGGAAAGGCTGGAATGGCAGGACACGTTTGGCGAGCAAAGGGATTATTCATTAAGAAAGTAATTGAAAACAAACTCACGGGAAAAAACCAAGAGGTAGACCTCAGCAGAGATGGTTAGAATATACTATTCTAACTCAAATGAAAACTACAAATATAAACTCCTAACAAAGTTGATAAACAAGTCTAACTATAAAATGAATACCAAATAGTTTTAGCTTATAATAACAAGCGTGGAAATTGCTCAATATTGTAAGTCTAATGTAATTGTTATAGAATTAACAAAGTATCATGTCGCGACCTTCATTGTCGTTTGCTCAAAAGCATAACCATTGATGAATTTTCATATTCTTTTTACATGAGCCTAATAACATGCAGAGGAAACATAAATGATTAGCGAAAACGTTATAAAATGACACAATATTATCATGCGCAATAACCCAACTATAACCGTTGTGATATACGAAAGTGAATATCAACTTCAATCAAAGTTATCTTAGTCGCTTTGGCGGTTTATCAATTTGTTAACAATTAATTAACTTTAAAACACAACCGTTAGTACTAAGTTTATATTTTTTGGTTTCTTTAATCTTTTTCAATAAGTTTCGTTGAAAAATTGTATATTATATTTGAACTGCTTATTACTAGGTTTGTAATATGATTGGTGGTTATTTTATCTGTCAATATACTTATTTAAATATCAACATGTTCTTTTAAAATGTGACATATATAATTATATATGCTATATAAGCAATATTGTTTGTATTTTATCTCAACTTTGTGCATAATTTTTATTTTACTAATTTACAAATTTGTATATCTTGAGTACTGTATACTTAATACAACAAAAAAAAATCTAATCAAATAATTGTAATTTATTTAAATAATAAAAAACTACCATGATTATAGCTAAATGTTTATTGACGATACTAATTTTGACTTACAATACTTTTCAAATTAGTATTGAAAGTGAATATTTTGGTATACTTATGATTAATTATTATTATTATACAAAACATTAAATATTATTTTAAGTAAAATTTCATTTAATTTATTTTCCTATTTATTTTTGGCAATAATATTTATTTAAAAAATATGTTAAATTTTTATTATCAAAAATAAGGAAAATTAATATTCCTAATTTTATTAGACTTATAGCAGCATATAACTTTCTAAAACAATGGCAAATGAGCAAAAAGTTAAATTTGAGGAAAATCAAAATCTAGAATTCGATATAACTAGAAAACGACTATATGATATTGTTGTACTTGGAGCTTCTGGTTATACTGGAAAGTATGTAGTTAGAGTAGTTGCACACTTGAGTAAAAAGTATAATTTTTCATGGGCAGTTGCTGGTCGAAATAAAAATTTACTTCAAAGTGTATTGAATAGTATTTATGAATCAATAGGTAAATGTTTTACGTTGCATAATCCAAAACTTTTGTCATCAATAATAAAATTAAAATACTACCGTATTTTAAGGAACATAAAAAACCATTGTGTCTTTACAAATCATTAAACAACAATGGTTTTTTTTGATTCTCTTAATGATGTTTAGTACGTTTTTCATTAGTAACACCTCCCTCCAAATTAAATAATAATACATTATTTTTACTGAACATGGATTTAAATTTTATTTTTTATTTATTTTTATCAATCATACAAAAGGATTCTCTTTCACCTGTATAATATTTCAAATAATAATTAAGCTTACTTAAGTGTACTTTCTAAAAAATAATTTTTTAAATCAATTTAATATTAAATGAATAATATTCTTGATAATTGGAATAATAATCAAATCAATAATTTTAGCTTCGATGCGAAGCTGAGAAGGTATTGGTTTTACTATGATGTGTTTTTTTTTTTTT